TGCATACAATATAAGAGAGGGAAAGAGGCTTGCTTGCTGCTGCTCTCTGCTTTTTGCTCTTGCTGCTTTTGCCATCTTGTGCTGCCTTCAAGTGTTGCCCCTGTGCCATGCCACCCTGCCTTGGAGGCAGCCGATTATAGACTGAAACTTCCACAAACTGTAAGCTAAATAAATCTTACCTTCCTTAATTTTGGGCATTGGGTATTTTGTCTAAGCAGTGAGAGAAAAGTAACCAAAACAGGTATCCTTGAGAATTGTTCGTAGTATTGGTTACTTGATCATGAATTTCTTTAGGTCCTCTTTATTGTGAAGGTATTTTATTTCTCCATCAATTTTAAAAGATAGTTTTGCAGGATATGTCAGCCTATGTTTGGAAATTGTCTATTTCAGGGTTTGAAACACTTTTATGCCAAGCTCTTCTGCCTTTGAGGTTTGTGTTGAGAAGTCTGCTCTAATTCTAGTGGGTTTTCTTTTATAAGTGATATGTTGCTTTTATCTACCCACTTTTAAGATTCTGTTCTTGTGTTGTACTTCCAAGATACTGACTATGATGTGTCATGGAGAAATTCTTTTCTGATTGTGGCTATTTGCGTTCTATATGCTTCATTTATCTGCATGGTATATTCTTCTACCTTATTTGGAAACTTTTCAGCTATTATTTCAGTAAACAGGTTTTTATGCTATCTGTGCTATCTTCCAATTTTTCACTAATTCCAATTAATCTTAGATTAATCATCTTTGTGTCATCTTAGAGCTGTTGGACCTATTTTCATGTTCTCTTATTTTTAAGACATCTCTCATTAGTTGGTCACTGACAACAACCCTGTTTTCTAGTTCTGACTTTCTCCTCATGTTTGTCACTTTTGCTGCCTGTGCATTCAATAGAAAATTTAATATCCTAAATTTCTATTTGAAACCCTTTTATGGGCTCCAATTCTTTTGTATACTGGTCATGCATATTTTGCTTCATTTTGTTTAGGCATTCTATATTTTTATTAGTGTCTTTTTAGACTCACTAACGGTTTTGTTTAATCAGCCCAATATTTTACTACTTGCATCTTCTGTGAGCTTGCCAAATGCCTTATTGAATTATTTTGTTATCTCCCTGGTACCACTTTGAATAATTTGAGTGTGAGGTTTTTGGTTTCTTCCCCTTTGATGCCCTATGGATCAGCTTTGGGGGAGTTGGGAGTTTTTAGAGGTATTTTATTGGCTTGTCTTCCAGTGTTTCTATTTTGTGGTTGTTTTGTGTTGAGGATTATGGTTTGATTCTAGTGGCAAGTTTGGTTTCTAGTATGGAGACCTCTGTAGTTAATGTCTACTTTTCAGGAGTGTTCTCTGGACATGGCCAAATACTGGTCTTTTCCTGTGTTCCAGGATCCAACCACCTCTGTTTGTCCTGAGATGGAAGACTGCAGCATATTTGTCCCAGTACCCAGTACCTAGTTCTCCTGCAGTGGGCCTCAGTATGTCAATAACAACAAGGCAACATAAGAAAACAAATTAATAGCAACAGCTATGCCACAGCTATAGTAATAAAATCAGCATCAATTGTAGCATTAAATACAAATGGAATGCTTTAATTAATTAATTCTTATTAGTACATACTCATCATAGGGAATTTATATTTGTATATAATATGCCTTAATTCTTCTTTCTATCCCCTATTCTCCTCCTCTTTCTTTATCTCTTCTTCCCCTTCCTGTTTAGAAAAGCTTTGTTTCCATACTGTGGTGGATTAACTAGTGGTCAACTTGTAACACCCAGCTGACTGAATCAGCATGATGCTGGGTGTGGAGGGCTCACCTGAGGATTGCTGCCAACAGCATAAACAAGGAGAAATGGAGGGGAAGATGGTGTGTTGTTGATTCTCCAGGAGAAGGCTGTCATGCAGGTTTTCCTGATACTTATTTTATGGAAAAAAGGTAAAACAAAATTTCATAACAAAGTAATAGGAGAATAACAATAGTTAATACATTGCATGTTGTTATCTTTAAAGTAGTTGCTCAGAGTACAAGATATGGGCATAAAAATTTCTCCAATAGACATTAATACAAACCTTCCTTTGCAACAAACTAAGAGACACTAATAGTGTAACTGACTCACATTTTTTCCTTTTCCCCTGCTGTCCTTTCCCCTTTCACCCATCTTAGCTCCTTCATTGTCCTTTTGAATGATTTCTTCCCATTTCACAATGTCTATTATACATTTCAGTCCGTATTTACTCTTTTAGTTTCTCATACCAGGGAGACAATATGATGTTTACACATGTGAGTCTGGTTTATTTCACTTATGAGTATGCTCTCACATTGCATCCACGTACCTATAAAACTTTCAAGTTTACCCTTTATGGCTGAGTAGTTCTCTATTGTATAAAAATACCACATCTTTTTTTATCCATTCCTCAGTTGAAGGGCATTTGGGTTGTTTCCAAGATTTAGCTATTACAAATTGTGCTTCTATAAACATGGGTGTGCATATATCATTGTAGTATGATGCTTTTCATTCTTTTGGGAATATACCAAGAAGGAGAATAGCTACGTGAATATTATAAGATAATCCTATAAATTATGTGTCCTATATTAAATCTATTCCCCTGTAAACCCTTACTACAATACATACAAACTGAATATTGACCAAGTGCAAGGACCAATAAAGTGCCACACTTGTCCATGTAAAAGATCTGTAATTGTAGTATAAACACTAAAACAGATCAAATATGGACTTACTGTTGATCTACAGTAAATATCTACTAAATGGAACAACTTTACCCCTACTAACAATAGCACAGTATTCAGCAGCAGTAGTATAACTTTAACTGTTTAGACCTTCATAAAGCTCAGTGATTATGCTAGTAAATTTGGAGGGGCTGGGAACCAAAGAATGAAAAAAGCTTCTCTGGACTGGGGGGGAGGCTCTGTCATGTGGGTTCTCTTACCTAGATGTGGGGACCACTGCTGTGGTGCAGGTGGGCTCTCTGAGGCCCTGGGAGTTTTGCTGTGCTCAGCCTATGGGGTTTTGAGGTGCCCTCCTTGTACCAGAGGCCTCTCTGTCCGTTCCTGCCCAGGTTGTAGTTACCATCCCGGCCAAGGCGTGTCTTTACTCCATTGCTGCCCTCTGCCTTGGGGGAAGCATAACATGGGGCTGGCTTGGAGTTGGTCTGTGATTGTGTCCTTGCTTCATGGGAAGCTGTGCATTGGGCAGGAACCTGTTTGCTCATGTTGGGGAGGAGTGTGACTCTTCACATGAGGGTCTTTTTTTTCTTGCTGGTAGATTGATCTTTTAAAGAAATTTATTGGTACATTTTGGCAGTACATAATGCTCACATTCATCATGGGGAATCTGTGCATGTACATAACACATCTTAATTCCTTTTTTATTCTCTTCCTCTCTCCTTCCTCCAAGTTCTTCCACCTAGTTCTTCCCCTTCCCCTTTGCAAAATCTCTATTTCCATTTCCCATTCAATTCTTTTTTCTTTAAATCCCTTTTCTCTTTCTTCTCTTCCCCCTCTGCCATATTTTGTTCCCCTTCCCATTTGAAAAATCATTCCTACTTCCTAATATCTGTCCTTTATTTTGCTACTTATTTATACTATGAGTTTCTCACACAAGAGAAGCCATGTGATGTTTTTACACTTGTGTGTCTGATTTATATCACTTAAGATTGTGTTCTCAATGTGCATCTATTTACCTAAAAGTGCCTCAAGTTTATCCTTTATGGCAGAGTAGCACTCCATTGTGTGCAAACGTATTTTCTTTATCCATTCATTTGCTGGGCATATGAGCTGTTTCTAAGATTTCGCTGTTATAAATTGTGCTGCCATAAACATGGATATGCATGTATCAGTGTGTGGGTCTTTTATTTTTATGATTTTCTGAGATGGAGAGATTTCCAATTTTTCCCTTCTTTCCAAAGGTATTGGCCTCATACATGGTTAGGTTGGTCAGTGTTGTATAGGCTCCTCTCTGGCCCTGTGCTGAAGGGAAACAAAATTCGGAGCTTCCCAGGAGTTGGCAGATGGTCTTGGTGAGGACATGGAATCCACTGGGCATAGCTGCTGACTCTTCCTGTTGTGCAGTATGGCTGCTGGCACTTCCCCCATTATTCTATGCTCAGCACCACAGGAAATGCCTGGGACTGGACATTCTATTTTTCTATTTTACCTAGTTCTATGTGTTTGTTAAGTGAATCCAACATAGTTTATCTGTTTTACAACTATTTCATCTTTAAAACTTGGAGCTAAAAGATTCCCTACTGCTCACAGTGAAAAATTTGTAGCATTGGAAATAATATAATTCAGGAACTTTTAGGAGATCAGGTACTATTTCCATTTAAATAAACTGCAATGAATTAAGATCCCTTAACATCTTTTCAACAATATTGCATGTTGAATGTTCATACAAATTCTTCAGACTAACTGTAGTAAAGAATCAAATGGATAAAATGTCTTTAGATTAAAAAAAAGAAGACCTATTCATGAACTGCCTCTGGAGGAACACTCAGTGTTCTTCCGGTCTCAACACTGTTTAACGTGTCCTCCTACCAGCCCGGGTGTGTGGCACCATGCAGGCTCCTCTATCCATTCCCCTAGGGGCTGTGTCAGGGAGCTCATGCCAGGGGGAGGTGTCCAGTCCCAGGCATTTCCTGTGGTGCTGAGCATAGAATAAAATGTGAGCTTGTTAGCCTGCTGAATCAGGAGTGTTCACAGCAGGAAGTGAAATCCACTCAAACAGATTTATGGAATAGAGTTGAGTGAATGGAATATTTTTAGGGTTAAGGAAAGTAAGAAGCACCTACGAGGATCACAGAAAGTAGCACTAGCACCAAGCTGAGATCCCTCCTGAGCCTGCAGGGTCAAGGAGAGGAACAGTTTTGCTGGATCTCCTTGAGCTACAGCCACAAGGGGAGGTTGGAGCTCTGGAGGGATGCAGCCACTGCCAGACCATTTTACCAGTGCAGGAAAGAAGTGGGAAAAAATTCTCCAATCATTTTACGTTCACCTTCCAAACTCTTGCAGGACCTCCCATTGCCCAGCTTTGACTACCTTGTAGATGATACTTCAGATGATAAGATCTGTAGAAGTCACACAGGGGCACCAGAGAGGAAAAGAGGAATCACAAGTAGCTGTAGGTGAGGACAAAGCATACTTAGTATTCACACTTCTTTTTGGTTTTATCTCATATTTCCTTTCCAGCTTTCCTGTAACCTTTCCCACTGAATTTCATAAATGGATCAAACAGACTCTGCCTATTGGGGATGGAACGAGCAATTTGGTAATACACCCACATTCGCCCGTTGTCCTGGTCAGTACGCTAAGGGCCCATTACAAAAATACAAGATATGTTTGTAATGATTTTCACCAAAGCATTGCTTATAACCGTGGAAGCATTCCTTATATCTGGGTGCAAATAGACATCAAATATATATCAATGACAGAATGGATGTCATGACATACTAATAAAATATTAGATTGTATGTACTTGTGCCATAGAGGCATATGCTGAAGATTTTTTTTTGATACTGAGGATTAAACCCAGAGCCTTTGTACTGAGCTACACCTTCATGACCACCCCCTGTATAAATTTTAGGACAGGATCTCACTAAGTTACTCAGTTGCCCAGACTAGGCTCAAATATCCTCCTGCTTCAACTTCCCAGAGAACTTGGATTACAGTAATGTGCTATGTAACATCTGGCTCAAGAAACATATTTACGTAAAAATAGAAAGGTTCAAAACAGTGTTGATAGCAATGATGCCTCTCATAAAGTACAATTGTACACAGAGTATGATATTTTCCTAAGTTAATCACCATCCTTTCACTCCTGGAATTTTCTTTTACCTATATTCATACTAGACCCTTGTCTTGGTTATCTTTCTCTCATTTCTGGGACAAAATACCTGACATACAAAGTTAAGGGAAGAAAGGTTCATTTAGCTCACAGTTTGTGGAGGTTTCAGTCTATAATCAGCTGGCTCCAAGGCAGGGTGGCACTTGGCACAAGGGCAACAGTTCAAGGTGGCACAAGACAGCAAAAGCAGCAAAAGCAAAAGAGGGGAGAGCAAGCCTCCTTTCCTCCCTTATATTGTAAGCAGGCTGCCCCCACCCAGGGGGCATGTAGCACTCACACCATCTCCCTGTCCTCCTCTTGCACAGGATGAGGATGTTTACAAAGTAAGGACCCTGGCTTCATGCAGAGTTCCTTGTTAAACTTCTAAACTTCTCAAGTTGACACAGTGTATCCATCATTACAACCCTGGTGTCCACAGAAAAGCTGACCACCGCATGTCAGCTGTTAACCTTCAAAAGCCTTTAAGTCAGATTTTGGACTGCATGACAAAGATAGTGTTCTGTGAGGAAAAAAAGTATTTTAGAATAATAAAAGTCACAGTGCTTGAAGATCAAGGAGATGAACTTCCTGACATGGACAGTACGTTCAGAACACTCAGTCCATCACGAGACCATTTTTCTGCTAAACTTCTGTGAAGTTTCCTTGGGTTTTGGAAGGAAGCATCATCCAAGAGAGAACAAGAACGAATGAGATGTTTTTGTGATTGTTCCAAAACTGACATATCCCTCATGAGTCTGTGGGTGAGCAATGCATGTGCTAGATTTGCTGAGACTGTGAGAGAAGAAGACAGCTGTGCACCGCACCCCTTATGGAAACGAAGGGCAGTGCAAGCTTTTCTCATAGACTCAGATTGGTACAAAGGGGCAGGAGAAGCCATGGACTCGGAAGCCCATATAGCAGTGTGAACATCAGAGCACTGGATGGAGTGGACAAGAGCTGCAGGTGAGACAGCGTGGGATGATCAGTGCCAACATCTGAGGATCAGGAGGAACTAGAGATAAGTGGGGAAGGTTCCCCTGAGGAAGCCATGACTGCTGCTCAGCAGAAAATGGTGTGCTGTAGACAGCTGCGCTGCAGTCTTATGATCTGTGTCTCACAGCAGACGTTCTAACAGCGCAGAACCTCCAGCACCCCCAGGCAAATGTATTTGTTCACCTCAGTCTTCTGCTCAGAATCGAAGTTCAGGAGGTACATCTTGAAATAGTTATCAGTTCAGTGTATTAGTACATCCAGAAAAGGCATTGTCTTAGTCAGTTCCCATGACTGGATGCAGAACTGACACCCGCTACTTAAAGGAGCAGAGGTTCATTTTGGCTCATGGCGCCAGTCCGTAGTCAGTTTAATATAGAGAGTACAATTGGGGATATGGCACTGTTCCTCTCCACTCATCTGACCCTGAGCAATGCCTCAGGGCCAACCCTCCAACCTTTGTCCTAAGTCTTGCTACACAGAGGCAGGGATAGGAAAAGCAAAGACCCCTGAGACCACCTTGGCAAGTTCCAAAACTCCAACCCAGGATGCATGAGCCCCCATAACCTGCAGTGACTGTTCTTTACCTGGAGCTCAGTGAAGGTTTGCGCATATGGACTGCATCTCACACACACAGTTACAATAGGGTGATAAGAGGAAGGACCTGTGCACTAGATGCAGCTACATGACTGAGCACCTTGTGTTGTTGACCACGCTCTAGAAGACCCCAGTGGGAGGTGCCCTAGAACTGGCACAGCATTCAAAACACCTGCATCAGGGGCTGGGGATATAAGTCAGTGGCGTAAGCGCCTGCCTGGCAAGCGTGAGGTAGTGAGTTTGATCCCTGGTATCGCAAAACAAAAACAAAAACAAAACAAAAACAAACAAACAAAACCCCAGCAACAACAACAACAAAAACAAACCACCTACATCATCAGCCCCCAGCACTTTTGCCGTTTCTTTCACAGGCATGAGCCTATTCACTCTGAGCACACTATTGCCTTAATAAACTTTGCTACTTTCCCCTTACCACCATAGGCCATGTCCAATTCTTCGTCATGCACAAGAACCTAGGAGCCTGTCTCAGACCCATCACCCATGGCGACATCTGGTGAGTACAGTCAGGAGGGAAGGCCTCTTTTGCAGAGATTTTATCTCTTCTCTTTCCCAGGAGCAAGACTCCTTCTACACGTTGCTCAGGTTTGTGTTTGTGTGACCTCTCTTTTGCCGTGAACTTCTGCAGCTTAGGGACTCCTTGTCAGTCGCTAGAGCCTCCTGTGCTCCTGAGTGAGGTCCTCCAAATGGCTCTATCCATCTTCCCACTCCTCCCTATCCCTCACTGTCCAAAATCAAATAGGCAGAGTCCTTTTACCTCCTCTGAAACCTTCCTCTTTCACCGTGAAGCTTTCATCTGCCAGAAAACTCACACCCTTTTGTTACATGGATTAGCAGGAATGCAGGGGAGTTGGGGATGGAGAAAAGGGGCTAAGGAGGGGTGAGGGACTGTACAAGAGCTCATTTAGATCTAGGTTCTTCCCAGGCTACTGGTGGGGTCTAGAATCTCACCTCTCTGAGCTGCTCAATGGTCTCCTAGTTCGTTTGGGATTCATTGTATTCCAAGTATTAGACTGCCACCTACCAGGCTCCCTACCCATTAGGCTTTCCTCAGGCTACTGCAAATATGCAAGCTCCACTTGCCCTACTTGCAAGAATTGGGGCAAAAACTTACTGGGATCCAGAGGCCCCATACCCCCACGTAGTGGATCATGATTGAACACCATCTGTCAAACTGCTCACCTCTGTCAGACAGGATCCCCAAGAGGGACCAGTTCAGGAAAATTTATCAGGGTTTCATAGAGATTTCTTGGGGGGACACTTACTACCCCTTTTTAGACAGGCATGCCATAAAGTTGAGTGTTTCTATAGTTGGCTAGAGGTATCCATCCTGTAGGATACCCCAGCTTGCCACCTCTGTCTGGAAGATGGGTTGTGGCCAAAAGGGAAATCCAAAAGTCCAAAGGAAGTGACACTGGTGTCCACTCAAGGCCAGAGACATCTGATATCTGAATCCTAAGGAGTTCAGCCTTACCAGGGGATGCGGTGGGCCAAATGGACTGGGCACTGACTGGGGCATGCCTTGTAAGGTTCCCATGCCCTGATTCTTCTACCTACGACAGACTTGTCATGGAGAATGCCTTATATGAGGGCCTTCTCAGAGAACTGGGAAAATTCAACACCCAGACCCTTAAGAAAAAAGGTTTTATATTTCTGAGTAATGAGATGTTCTAATCAAGACCTGGAAGGAGGTGGGCCTCAGGACCAACTTACCTCCAAATGAAAGGCCCTTATAACCACATCCTCTGTCATCTGTGTTCAGGAAACAGAGCTGAATTTCCTTCTGCAGTGGAAAACTTGAGCCACCTGAGGCACCAGGAAACAAGAAGAGCGATCTGCTAAGTCAGTTAAGTAAACTGGTTTGCTCCCTCTGGGAGAAAACAGAAGAGGGAAAACCCAGTCTTATCTGGGCTATAGGGTTTCTTCTTGTATTTCTTATGTAGCTAGTTTTCCCACTCTCTTGCTTGCCATGGCTCACTCTTGAGATTCTCATTCCAAGTTATAAAGTGACTTCCATTGACTTGTTCTTATCCTCCTTGGGATCCTCTTTGGTGGCTCAAGCGTTGCTTCTGGGGGAGATATGAGTGCTGATTACCTATACAAAACTTCGAATATGACCAATTTCTTATTGAATTTTACTAACCTGAACTTGGCCAAGTTCTGTTGGCTGTATCTTTCCCCATCCTCCAGCCAAAATACTGCTGTGCAGCTCTGGGCTACTGGAAAAATGACCACCCCAAATATCAAGGAGGCATCCCTCTTTTCAGTTAATGTCCTTGGAGAGCCTGTATGGTATTTAGGTGGATGAAATTACCAAAGTAATCTGAATGGGGAGGGCTATTACCCTCCTCAGATCCAATCAAAGTAACCTGAATGTTTCTTCTACACAAGACACTCATTTGGTTTCCAGCATCCATTTGCACATTGCTTAAGTTCCAGACAACCCTCTGTATAAAGAAAACTCAAGACCAGAGCTGCAGTCCAGATTTGGGCACATTGAATGACTCCCTTTGCAAACAAATCTTAAATATAAATTTTCAATGGACCACGCCAGTATGCAGTTAAACCAGATCATGCCCTTTAGAAACCCGATGGAGTTCTCAAGAAAGCCATTTTTGGGCACACAAGGGTTAGGAAACAAGGGGTGAGGATATTGCCAAGGAAGACCCGAGTTATATTTCTATATTTCTATGGGGGATTGCATTCATCCCACAGCCGGTAATAGTTTTCTGGTGCACAGTTATGAAAACTCAACTGAGGAAGTGTTAGATACCAAAAGAAGTTTTATAGCTTGGGAAAATAGAACCACCAGAAGCACTCCACATACTTCATATGGGCCCTTTCAATCTCTGACTGGATCTACATTAGAAGGGACTATATCTGTCTGGGAAAATAAGACAAATCAGGTCACCCGTATGTTTACTGTTGAAAGCAATTTCTGTTTTGAGATTTTTCTTCCCATATGGCACTAATTCCTACTTGTGTCTTTCAGCAAAGTGGACAGGAACATTCACCTTTGTTTTCTCACCACAAAGATAAATACAGCAATAGTCAATCCCTTCCAGTTCTGTTAGTCAAGAGAACAATGATCAAGTGAGTTATAAACCCCATTCTTCTCCTCGTGGATCTGGGCATAGCAACTGAAACAGGTAGTGGAGTAGGAGGACTAACTGCATCCTTCTACTATTACCAGAAATTATCTAAGGACCTCAAAGACAGCCTAGATGAAAATGTTCAGAGCACTCTCTCACCTTTCAGAATCAAATACATTCACTGGCTGCAGTGGCCCCCCAAAACTAGGGAACTAGATATCTTGACCCCTGAGAAAAGGGAACTATGTCTGTTTCAAAAAGAATGTTGGTTCTGTGTCAATCAGTCTGGAATGGTGAGAGATACAGCGCAAAAACTAGCGGACTGTGCTTCTAAGGTATGCCAAGAACTGAGTCATGACAGTGGCAGGGGTGCGGCGGGGGAAAAGTCCCAGTAAAAACTCTGAAATTGGGCATCCTGGGTACATCCCTTGACAGGGCCTTTATTAATGTTTCTCATAGTCTTACTATTTGGACCATGCATACTTAATCTTTTAGTCAAATTTGTTTCTTCTTATTCAACAGCCATTAAATTACAGATGGTAATCAGAGCCATCTTCATGTGTAAAGCTCACTTATGAATCCTCAGAGGAAGTATATGGCTATGTTAGTCCCCTATATCAGGCAGGGTGTGGGTTTCACAGTCTCTGCAGAGATAGGATCAATGGTTCTACTCAGCAGGAAGTAGCTATAGAAGATAGACATTCTGCCCTCAGCATCCTTCAAAGATATTTTAGGACCAGGTCTTTCAGGGGAAAATAAGATAGATAGTACAACTGGGACTATGGGCTTCTCTCTTTCACTCACCTGGAGCCTGAGCAATGTCCCAGGACCAAAGCCCAACCTGTGTCCCAAGGCTTACTACATGGGGGCAGAGATAAAAAATGCAAAGACCCAAGAGCCTGCCTTGGAAAATTTCCGAATTCCAAACCAAGACACATGCACATTAATGGCCTGCAGTAACTTCTTCACTTGAAGCTCAGTGAAGTTTCATGCATATGTACTGCATCACACACATCCATATAAGAGAGTAAATTATGGGAAGGCCATGTGCATTAGATGTTGGAGCTCAAAAGCAATCAGGAGAAGCTATTCTAACTTCTGAGGAAGGTGATTTCAAACCAAAACTGATCAGAAGCGACAAAGAAGGCTGTTATATATTGGTAAATGGAACAATACAGCAAGAGGAGTTAACTATTGTAAGTATATATATATGCACCAAAAATCAGTGTACCCAGTTTCATAAAACAAATACTACTTGTTATTTGTGAATGCATGGTATTATATACATTTCTGTACAGGTTGGAAGTTGTTTTCATATGAAACATGTCAACAAAAACAAGGAAAGTGAGTTTTATTTTATTGATCAATTTTATTCTCTAGGAAAATAAATTTCTGCTTTCAGCAAGTAGTAAATCTTTATCATAAAGAGAATGTTCAACATCATGTTCATTATTTCAATAGATGTGATGAATGATTTCAATTAAGGAAGGAAAGACAAACATAAATAAATATAGTCTAATGTAATAGTTATGACAAGAACAATAATCTTTTGGGATTTTTGGATAGTAATAAAAAACAATGAAGGTAAATGAGGAAATCAGGGTTAAAAGTACATTATAATCAGGTAAAAAATAACTTCATGCAAGCAGTGACTAAGGATATTCTAACTGAAGGCAGTTGAATGCTGTAAAAGGGATAATCCAAAGGTTGCTAAGGAAGAAAAGAATGTCCAGGTGTAGGGGCTTAATAGATCAGAGTGAAAGAGAGGGAGGAACCAAGAACAGCTTGGTGATTTCTATGGATTATTAAGTGTAGAGATGTTGTTAACTGAAATGGGAAATAAGGAGAGGAAGGAGTTGAGGGGTGGGAAAAAGTCCTATCCTGTTTGCATACATTGGATTTATGATGAGACTGAAGCATCAGTGTAGAGACATCTAATACAGTAGTTGGAAATGTGATTAAGAGCTCAGCTAAGATACTTGGATAAATATTCTAGAGTAAAAAGTTTATTATAAACATAGATTTAGAGATGAAACAGATGACTTATAAAGAGTGAGCATGATGAATAAAACATTAAATGGATTTTCCTATGGTTTACATCTGAAATGTTCCTCCAAACTCTCATGTGTTCAGAGGTGGGGCCTAGCCAGAGGAGGTGGGTCCCTGGGGCATGGCCTGGAAGTATTTTTGTTTGTTTGTTTGTTTGTTTGTTTTTTCTCCGGTACCGGGAACCGAACTCATGACTTTGCACTTGCCAGGCAGGTGCTTTGCCACTGAGCTAAATCCCCAGCCCCCTATGGCCTGGAAGTATTTACTCTTCTCCCCAGCTGCTCTTTCTCTCTTCCTGCTTCCTGGCTGACATGGGATGAGCAGCTTTCCTTCACCATGCCATTCTAGTATGCAATTTCTGCCTTGGGGCCAGCTAATATCGGACTGAACAGTTGGAACCCATGGGCCAGAGTAAATCTGTCCTCCTCTAATTTGTGAGTGTCATATATTTTGTCCTGATGATGGGGAGGTGACTAACACAGATTTACATTCAGAGTTCTCTACAGGAATAGAACAAAGGTTTTCCTGTATTTCTCATTTCTTTATTCAGAGAGTTACCGAAAGGTGCTACAGAAAACATGCAGTTCTCAAGTATCAATTTGCTGAAATCATGAAAAAAATTTGTGATTACAGATTTGATGTTCTTTTGTTTGTTTGTTTGTTTTTGGTTTTTTCCCAGTACCAGGAATCAAACTCACGACGTTGCACTTGCCACGCAGGCGCTGTGCCACTGAGCTAAATCCCCAGCCCCAGATTTGGTGTTCTGATCATAATACATTGCACCTTTTCAGAACTAATAAAAGTAATGATTATACAAGTTCTTATCAATTATCTAGGGAAATGTTTATATCCAGCATGCTGTCTTCCAACACTATAATGGTGAGTCCTGATTTCACAAAGAATCACACTGTTCTTCATGAATGCCTGAATTAGTATTTTTCAAAATGAATTCCAAACAAATGAGTTTCTAGGGAAATGTCTAAATAACTATACAGATTTCCCCCTGAACATAAGAGTTTAATCATTTCTTTCATTTGTAATAAATATATTGGAATATTTTGGTTATATGCATACACTACTACTATGCTCCTTACTGCCTTTCTCTCATCCTTATTCCTTCCCTATTGTCTAATAATACTAATCCTTTTACTTCCTTGACATACTTTGGGTTTTCTGTTTTTGGATTCCACATGTTGAGGAAAATGCAAGATATTTGTCTTTATGAAGCTGGCTTATTTCACTTAAGATGATGATTTCCAGATCCATTTTCCTGTTAATTATATCATTTGATTATGGCTGAATAATAGTCCATTGTGTATGTATACCCCATTTACCTCATTTTCTTTATCCATTAGTCCACTGATAGGCATCTAAGCTGCTTCCACATCTTGGACATTATGGATTGTGTTAAAGTAAAGATGGGCATGCAGCTATCACTATAGTATGATGACTTTGGTTCCATCAGGCATATATCAAGGGGTACTACAGAAAATATGGAATCAACACAAACCCTTAAAGCAAGATGAAATTGGAGTGAAGTATTTCAGGTCCTGAACAAAAACAACTTCCAACCCAGATTGTTGTACTCTGCAAAACTATCTTTCAAAATTAATGGAGAAATAAGATACTTCCATGACAAAGAACAGCTGAAGAAATTCATGACCATCAAACCAGCCCTACAATAAGTACTGAAAGATATTCTGGAAAGAGAAAAGAGGACCACAATTGCAAGAAAAAGAACAGAAAGAAACAATGGATTTGGAGAACACTTTGACAATATGAACTGTGCATGCAAGGGATCTAAGGTTGCTTGCTGCTTATGAGAATCTAATTCCTGATGATCTAAGGTATAACTGGGGCAGTGATGCTAGCCCTGGCAGTGGCTGCAAATACAAATTAGCATTAGCAGACAGGTTTGACTGCAGAGA